ACTCTCAGGCAGTGGCCTGCTTCTTAGTGGCAGTCAGGTCTCCCCGCATCCCCACTCTCGGTCAGACCCCGGCTTCTGATCTCGTGTCCCTCTTTATGGTGTTGTTCACACAAAGGAGCCTCATCGTGCTTGGGGGGGCTGTGTCTGGGCACAGAGCAGCAGTCTGGGGACTCCCCAAACATTTCCACCTCCCAGAAAGGCTTGGCCACCACAGAAACTGCTGGTGATGAGGAAGGGGATTGCCACACACACTCAATAGTTCATTTCTTATTACAAGGAGGTAGAAACATGTCCATTTTTCATTTATGGAAACAGGCTTACAGAAGGTCAAATAACTTGGCCAGAGTCACAATAATAAGTTCCAGGTGGGTTTAAACAGGAGCCTGGGCCTGTAACACTACAGCTGAGCTCTCAGTACCTCCTAGAGCTTTCCCCTCTCCACCTTGCTGGGCCTCTAGCTCGTCCTGTAAAAGTTCCAGGGGCCTGCTCCTCGGGGGTGAGGGGGACCACTGTCCTGGCCCCTCCATGCCCACCGCTGCTCCACTCCAGCCTCATCCCTTGCTCAGGGACCAGTGTGAGGCCCAGCATGTTTCTTGCCGGGTTCTGCGGTGCTCCAACGCTTCAGCCTCTTTCTCTGCTTTGCACAAGGCCTGCAGAGCAGCCTACCAGCTCCCAGGCCAGCTGCCTTTTAACTCTGGCCTTGGGTTCTGTTTAGTCTTCTCCCCACAACCTTTCTTAAACTTGGTAGAGTGACCTAGATGGAGCCCTTCCCTCCTCCACACCCTTGTCCTCAGGAACCCCTGCCCAGAATACCGTCTTCTGCCTGCCTGCACCACCCGCACCAGTCTTGCCCATTAAAGCCCCAGCTCAGAAAACTTTCCCAGAAAGACTACTCAAATTTGCCGCCAGGTGAAAATATACCCTCTTCCTCTGATTTGCACAGCAATTTATATCTCTGCTTGACAAGTTATTTTGTTTATTCTTAAGTATGAGGCTTCCCGCCCCACAAGAACTTTAAAAACAAGGCCTTTGCATTCAGAGCTGAGTCAGGAATCCCAACTTTGTGACTTACCAAATAATGGGGGTGATGGAGTTGGCCTCAAGTCCTTGGAGAATGTCCTCAGGTTAGCTGTGTAAGTCACCTGGCCAGCCGTGGAACACTCAGGAGGCAGATAGTGCCCGCTCCACTCCAGATCCCTTCTTCACAGTTTCAGCAAAGCTACCCACCTCCACTCCTCTGAGCCTGCCTGGCTTCAGCAGCGATCAGGCTAAGCAGGCGCTCCTGCGGTGGGCGGGGCTCTCGCCGTGGAGGGCGGGGCTCTCGCCGTGGTGGGCGGGGCTCTCGCCGTGGAGGCAGACATCCCAGGGGGCCCATCAACCCGGAAAGGGTGCCTCAGATGGGCAGACCTCATGCTGCCACTCTCCTCACTCCGGACTTCCTGAAGGGAGTCCAGACCTACCCAAAGGTCCTCTCAAGGGGCAGGAGCTGCTGGCCTCCAGGTGGGGTTAGGCAGGGAGACTCCCATCTGCCCCCACAAGCTGCAGATGAGGAAGCTTGTTCATGATCCCCTGGCTTGTTTCTTTGCCCCCTTGGGGAAAGTCGGTCAATTGTGTCTGACTCTTTGTGACCCCATAGACTGTAGCCCATGAGGCTCTTCTGTCCATGGAATTCTCCAGACCAGAATACTGGAGTGGGTAGCCGTGGGTTCCCCTCTCCAGGGGATCTTCCCAACCCAGGGACTGAACCCAGGTCTCCTGCATTGCAGGCAGATTCTTTACCGACTGAGCCACCAGGGAAGCCCCTTTGCCCACTTAGGTCTGTACCAAAGCTCATCTGTGCTGTGGGTGGGGGCATGCCAGCAGTGAGTGCCTTGAGGTCAGGGGCCACAGCATGGAGACTGGCTAGAGAGCTGGGCTGGAAGGAACTGGCCCTCCCCATGGAGCACCCACAGTCTGCGGGCTCAGGGTTCTGTTTTATGAAAGGGCCTACGGTTTTTTTATGAAATGGAAGATGCAGTCACTTTGGCTCCTGCATGAGGATTCCCAGCTTCCTAAGGCCTAGCACTCAGATTCCTGCTGGCTGCTCCTTCAGGGAAAACCCACCTCTTCCAGGCTCACCAAGGGGAGAATGGAGAATACAGGGAATTCTGCAACCAGGCCCTTGCAGCAGCAGGAGCACCCTGCTGGAGACACGCACAGACCAACCTCATGGGTGCACCATGTGTGATGAATGAAAAGCAACCTAAGGATTTAAATATCCCTTTCTTCTCTTCATTCCAAATACCTATATTTTAATTTTACCTCCAAATATGTATACTTTAATTTCACCATTCCAGAATTAACACTTGATCACTTTGGGTGACTTCTTCCCAGCAAAATGCTCCTTCAGGGAGTGGCATAAGAAGAAAGAGTTATAATGCCCTCCACATGTTTCCACATCTGCTGTGAGGACTTCAGCATACCTGGCCTATAGGGAAATGTAGTATTTTTCTGTTTAAAAGTATAAAACTTTGAACACTGTCATTTTGGGGCAAGCTTGGACCTTTTATTATGTATGTATGTATTTCATTGTGACTACGAAACATCTAAAAGAGACAAAAGTAAAAGAGTGTCATGAATCCCTATGTTCCTATCACCCAGCTTAAACAACTATCCATAATTTGTAAATTTAAGTATCCTTTGGATTTTAAGCTTTATTCAATTCTCTCATACTTACTGTGCGGGGGGAGAGAGAAGAGATGAGCCATCTTATTATTAATTAATCTTAACACTTCTAGAAAACTTGAGCTTTGAATTCTGTAAGTTTTAATGAAAATCCTGCCTCTGGGCTAAAGGCTCACAGGCCGGGGCAGGGAGGAGCCTAAGGAGGCACTCTCTGCTGGGGGAGACCTCCATCATCCCACAGCTTGGCTGGGAACTGAGACTTTCAAAGGCTAAGTGTGCCCACCGTTAGACCAGCGACGATACCCTTGAGATTCCACGTCTGACTCCAGCTACTGCTACTTCTGGGAGACGGTTGGCCATATCCTGTCAACTCAAGCAGAAAAAAGCACAGGTTCTGTTTCTGGATGATTTACTGGGTGTCCTACCAGGTTTCTCCGCCAGGGGGAGCTGTGAAGGGCAGTCTTGGACGCTTCCAGAGCCTTTGGGTCTTTCTCAGTGGAAAGTGGGGCGGGATGATCAGTGACAGGCTCCACTGGGTGCGATCATTACTTTTGAGAGCTCAGTTGGACCAGTGGACAGTCCAGGATAGCATACTGTTGGGAAACCACGAAGCATCTGTTCCAGTTGAGGGTAACAGAAACTCCGGGGATAAAATGAAGACAGCAAAAAAAATAGAAGAATTATTTTTAAATGCTGCTGCTTGTTGAGTTCTCACCATGTGCCAGGGAGAATGGCTGCCCCCCCTGGAGTTGAGCATGCTGGGAATTTTATAGATGTTATTTATTCTCTGCAGCCCTGAGGAGTTCTATCCTCACTTAATAAATAAGAAACCTGGGACTCAGCCAGACAAGCAGAACCTACAGGGGCCACAGCTTGGACACAAAAGATCTGGGAATTGGCAGCCAGGTCTGCTGCCTTCAAACCCTGGGCCTGTGGCTACCAAGCAATGCCTTCACTTCTGGGGTCCTCAGGTAACAAGCACCGCCCCCGCACCCCCATTCTGTGTCTGGGGTGCGAGGGTGCATCCAGCCAGTGCTAAGCAGAGGCACTGAGCCAACTCCAGTGTATGAGCTACCATTCAGCTCCCCAGCCTTTGGCTCAAATCAAGGGACTTTCACAAAGGTCGTTTAACTGGATTTTTCTCACCTCTTCTCACCTAAGAAGCCCTTTTCTTTCCACAGTTTCGTGCAAAAATCTGGCTAAAAGAACTTGGAGCATCTGAATGGTGAATGCAGGTGGAAGTTTTAACTGCAGATAAAGTACCAAAAAAGGTCAGCTCAGCTGAGAAGCACCCCTTCCTACCCACCACAACTTTTCATTCTAACGCGACTGATTTCAGTCAAGACTCAGCTATCACAGGTTCCTGGTCTCCAGGCACTGCTCACCCACCCACTGGAGAGACAGCTCCTGGGAGTAGTGATGGGTGACGACCAGGTACCTGAAAAGCTCCCGGAAAGGGGTTTCCTTCCTGTGCTCACAACCAGTAGTGCTCCTGGGAGCCCGATGCCCCAGGTGTCCATCCTTTGATGGACGGGGCCCCTTTCACTGCCCATCCAGTCCTGGGCCCAACAAGTCACTAGATTCCCACTGGTGGTGATGGTGGTCCACACATTCACTGCCACTGTTAACTCTCTCACACGTCAGTGTCAGCAGCATAGGGCTGACATGTGTGCATGGGCTTTGGACTGAGTGTGGATCCTGTCTATGTACTTACTGGCTGTGTGACCTTCAGGAGGTGAAACTCTGTAAGCCTGTTTCTTCAGCTGTGAAATGGGCATTATATTCCCAGTCTCATAGGGACCCAGAGGAGACCCCAACCTGGGAAGGAAAGAGTACTTGATGACAGTTAACCCACACTTCCTGACCCCCGCCCCCAACTCCCACCCTCAAAGGAGGGCCCTCCCTCTCTTGATGCTCCCAGGCTTAGCTTCCTGGGAATCCAGAATCAACAGCTATTCCTCAGGGTTAGCAGATGGAGACTCTGGGTGGGGAATGCCTGGGGAACTGAAAGTGAACTGAAATGAGCGGGGAAGGAGGAAAGGAGATCATTCAAATAGTTCTTCAAAGTGATAGATGGTCCGGCAAAGGGGTCAGAGGATGAAGCACTGGATGGGAGGGAGGAGACAATCTAAAGATTGGACAGAGGTCTCCAAGGGTCAGTGAAGGTGTGACGGGTACCTCTGCATGATCTCAAGGTGAGGATGCAAAAGGAACTCCCAGGGTTAGGGGTGCCGTGTGCAAGACCCTGCAGGCCACAGCCTCTCCCCTTCCCCACCCCGCCCAAGACATCAGAACAGGGCACGAAACCCACACAGGACCGCGGACCGCCCCCAGGCTCTCACTGCAGCCAGGCAGGCTCATCTCTGTTTATTTTTTTCAAAACAAAACTAAAAATCATCACTCAAAATATTTGAGGAGAGTGCTCAAGTTAAAAGCTTTTCACAGGATTTGCAGTCAGAACATCGCAGACTGGTGGTCAGGAACTAGAGCTCGGCCTCCAGCCTCCAGCCTCCACTGCTGTTCCCCATGAGCTGCAGTCCAGGCAGTGGGGTGATGACCCCCGGTGGCTGAGGCTGGTGGCATCCACAGATCAGAGACATTCCAGTTCTGGTCAGACCATCCAGCACCTCGAGGGCCTGCTGGGCTCCCTCCCCCATGAGAGTCCACAAACTCTGTGAGGAAGGCAGCCAGGTTGCTGCCCAAGCACTGTCCGCTGTCAGGGCAGGCGGTTCTGGCTCTGCATCTTCACGGGGAAGGGCGAACTCCCCGGGGGCAAGGGGCGGAACGCCTATTCGGTGTCATCATCGCTCGTGTTTAATGATGGCTTCACTCCGCTCCAGGGTGAGCCCGTTGCCGTTCCGAGTGCCTTCCTTCCTGCTCCAGTCCTTCTCCGTGTAAAACTCCGCAAGCACGGGGCAGTGTTCAGAAGCCACTCCGCCCCAAGACCAGTTATCTGGAATCCAAGGGTTCGTGAGGCCTTCTCTCACTACAGCCCAGTGGCCTGGAGGCAGAGGGAAGACAGACCCAGAGGTCAGGATGGGGGGTGGGTGGAGGCCAACACTGTACATAGTCTGCAAGCCTGGGCTCCCTGAAGAGACCCCTCAGTCACCTGGCTTGCCTGTGCAAATCAGCTGTCTCAGCCCATTGGATTTCCCAGACAAGTGAGGGTTTGCCAAGGAGGTGCTGAAACTACCCTGGGTCCAGGCCTCCTGCCCATTCACACACCTCCTGGCCCCCACACCGTCCTTATTTTCAAACACTTGCAATCTGACCAGTGAGGATAAGTGTTTGACACAGGGACACAGGTCCCACAAAGGCGTCCAAAGTGAAGGTCCTATTTCACAAAGCAAAGCTGCAAAGGCAGGTGGGAAAGGAGAAAGTTCTACAAAAAGGGTAAAGAAGAGAAAGTTACAGAAGTTTATGAGATAGTAAAGGTATTTTTAAAGTCAAGATTTAGAAACATGTGAAGCTCAAGGTGTGTTTAAGAAAGAGTGGAAGAGTCACAGAAGGAAGGATGGAGCAGTTAGAAGCATGGCCGTGGCCCTCAGTGAGAACCGTCCCCGATAATCAAACGGACCCAGGCCTGGGCTCCGGTGGCCTCCCTAGTGGCTGAGAGGGTGAAGAATCTATCTGCCTGTAATCAGGAGACCTGGGTTCAGTCCCTGGGTTGGGAAGATCCCCTGGAGAAGGGAATGGCAACCCACTCCAGTATTCTTGCATAGAGAATTCCGTGGACAGAGGAGTCTGGCAGGCTACAGTCCACAGGCTCGCAAAGAGTTGGACATGACTAAGCAACTAACTGTGGAAAATTCTTAAAGAGATGGGAATACCAGACCACCTGACCTGCCTCCTGAAAAATCTGTATGCAGCTCAGGAAGCAACAATTAGAACTGGACATGGAATAACAGACTGGTTCCAAATTGGGAAAGGAGTACGTCAAGGTTGTATATTGTCACCCTGCTTATTTAACTTCTATGCAGAGTCAGTCAGTCAGTTAGTCAGTTCAATCACTCAGTCGTGTCTGACTCTTTGCGACCCCGTGAATCGCAGCACGCCAGGCCTCCCTGTCCATCACCAACTCTCGGAGTTTACTCAAACTCAGGTCCATTGAGCCGATGATGCCATCCAGCCATCTTATCATCTGTAGTCCCCTTCTCCTCCTGCCCCTACTCCCTCCCAGCATCAGGGNCTGTGGTGTTGGAGAAGACTCTTGAGAGTCCCTTGGACTGCAAGGAGATCCAACCAGTCCATCCTAAAGGAAATCAGTTCTGAATATTCATTGGAAGGACTGATGCTGAAGCTGAAACTCCAATACTTTGGCCACCTGATTCAAAGAACTGACTCATCTGAAAAGACCTCGATGCTGGGAAATATTGAAGGCGGGAGGAGAAGGGGATGACGGAGGATGAGATGGTTGGATGGCATCGCTGACTCAATGGACATGAGTTTGAGCAAACTCCGGGAGTTGGTGATGAGCAGGGAGGCCTGGTGTGCTGCGATTCATGGGGTCGCAGAGTCAGACATGACTGAGCAACTGAACTGACCTGAACTGAGCAACTAACACCTTCACTTTCAGGCCTGGATTCTGATGTGAGTTCTGCTGCCCAGGCAACAGTCCCACGATGGGGGCCACTGCTCCCTGCACCTCGCTTTCTACAGCTAAAGAGCAAGGGACAGATGCAATGGTTTCTAACTTTTCTCCAGCCCCATCTGCTCAAGCACTCCAGCACCACCTCCCACTGCCACCGACCTCTGTCTGGCCAGCGGTGCATTTCTGCAAACTGCGTCTCGCCCAGTCTCATGACGGACACTCCCTCTGAGGCCTACTTTCTTCATCCTTTGGATTTTCCTATGACACAGTCCAACAGCACACTGGTGCCCGGGACTGGAAGTTCTAGGCCTGAGGATCCAAGTCTTGGCTGCACGTCCTGGTCTCACAGTGGGACTCCAGCATTGGTACTTAATTTTTTTTTTTTTTAACGTTTCTCTGAAGTATAATCTGCAACTATTTGTGTTTAGTAAGGGCTTCTCTGGTGACTCAGATGGTAAAGAATCTGCCTGCAGTGCAGGAGACAGGTTCGATCCCTGGGTCAGGAAGATTCCTTGGAGGAGGGAATGGCTACCCACTCCAGTATTCTTGCCTGGAAAATCGCATGGACAGAGGAGCCTGGTGGGCTACAGTCCCTGGGGTCACAAAGATCGGACACGACAACTGATCAACTGACACTTTTCAAACTTTTGGTGCTTATCTTACTCTTCTTACTCTTCTTATCTTACGTCCAAAGACCCTACTGCCGCTTCTGTGTTTTTATGAATGTTTCATGACCCAAAGTCTGCTCAGCAAGTGACTGGTTTTGGGGGAGTGCTTTTCAGTTCTGAGGTTACCCACCACACCCTGGTCTGGCAGAGTCCTGCCTAAGGCACTTCTGCATCCTATAGTGATGCCAGGTGACGTGTCAGCTCACCCCCAACTGCTGCTCTTCAGGGTGCTGATGGCATTGGTAAATCTCAGGCCACAACACACTGCCTGAGCATGACAGGGCTCGAGAAGGGTTTGCTGAAGGACTAAGTATCCTTAAAATTAGGCTAAGTTGGGGCTTCCCGGGTGGCCAGTGGATAAGAATCCACCTGCCAATGCAAGGAACATGGGTTTGAATTCCTGTCAAGTCGTGGGGCAACTACGCCCGTGTACTACAACTATCGAGCCCACGCTCTAGCGCCCGTGAACCACACCACTGAAGCCCACGTGCCCTGGAACACGTGCTCCACAAGAGAAATCACTGCAATGAGAAGCCCACGCACCACAACTAGAGAGTGGCCCCGACTCAGTGCAACTAGAGAAAGTTCGCAGCAAGGACCCAGTGCTGCCAGTCGATAACCAGGTCTGCCCGGGACGCATTTGCTTTGTCCCTGATGTAGGTCAGTGAATGCCTTTTAATTAGTTTTCAGAACCCCTTCACTCTTAAAAGTGGCTCTGTGTGAATGATAATTATACAGCCACCTGAACAGTAACCTGGTAAATGCCCGCAGAGGAGGGAAGGTCACTCCTGACTCTCGCTCAAACCAGACAATCGTGAACTGCCAGCTCAGACAGGTGACTCTCACTCTGTTTCTGAACAGCATACGTGCTTTACCTGTGAAAACCTTCTTTAAGCTTTTACTGATCCAGATGTTGTCCAGAGTCTTCGAGCCTTGAGGATTCTTGGTGCTGATGTTGGTAAAGGTGTGTGCGGGGATCAGGTGGTGGAATTTTTCTTTCCTCAAGATATCATAGTCACTGCTGTCTGGCCCCTGGCCAAAATCCCCTAAAACTATCACGTCTTTTTCTCCTAGAAGTAGAAGAAAGAAATTCAGAAATGTAAGAGGTGGTGGGGAGTTAGCCCAACACTGACCACCACTCATTTAAGTAGGATCGTGACTGATCTGACTCACCAGGGTTAGGACTGTGGCATGGTTCTTATTCTCCCAATTTTCCCAAGTGCCTTGTGCAATACCTCCTCACCGCACCCCCGGCCCTGCAAGCCTTCAGAGTAGTTTGGTGACACATTTGGTTGGTATCATGTCAACATCACCTCTGTTCTGGATCATGGGTTCTGAATCTCATAGCACAAAAAGGCCCCAAGGGTCTTGCCCATATTGTTAACAAAAGCTCAACAAACATTTACTGAGCACAGAAGGAAGCCCAAATGAAGACACAGGAAGAAGACAGACATCTACAAGCCGAGGAGAGGCCTCAGAAGAAACCGCCCCTGCCAACACCTTGATCATGGACTTTCCAGCCTTCAGGACTGTAAGAAAATAAATGCCTGTTATTTAAGTCATCCAATCTGTGGTATTTTGTTATGGAACCCCAGCACACTAATATAGGGCAAAATACTTTAAAGTATTTTCAACATCTCTCTCAAACTCAAGTTTGATTTACAAGAGTAAGTGGGATAGTTATGAAGTATTTTCCAAAGTGAGGAGACATTCAGAAAGAACAGTGGGCCCCAGCTTGGCTCCCTGGGATTCCGGTCCACTGCCTGACCATCACTTCCTGTCTCGAAGTTCCCCTCATGGGAGCCACGTTACCACAGGGAGAAACACTGCAAGAAAAGCTTTAAGGAAAGCAGTTCATAACCAAGGGCCAAATGCACCTGAGACACTCAGCAAATCTTCAGGGACACGAATATGCGTCAATAACAATGGCTTAGAGATAAAGAAATCTAAAGTGAAATGACACACGCCACCAGCAGAGGGCACTCATGTTCTGCACATGACATCCTCTTCCGGGGGCCCTGAGGGAGGGAAGGGGATGGAAGGAAGTCTTTCCTGCAGCCATTGTGTGACCAACAAGAGAGGCAACTGTGACCCTCATGCTAGATCCTAACAACCCTGGCACCCAGAGCGGGGCGAGCCCAACTAAGCTGGTCGTGAGAAGTCAGTGAGAACTTCCAACAGGAGAGTCAACTTATGAATAATACTAATAACAACTACGTGGCCAGTGTTAATGACCCTCCGCTGAGTCGTCACCGTGTGCCGGGGACCTCTTGCAGGTGAGAAGCTGAGGCTCTGACCAAACTCACCAAGCCAGCCCTCAAATCCAGGCCTCTTTACACAGAGCTAGGATGGAAGAGCCCCACACGCTTGGAACAGTCTGCTGCCTGGCAGACGTCAGAGAAACACGCGCGGAAGAAATAGTGAACAAAGCACAAGGAAAACTGCAGAATTAAGGTGCAACATATTTTTTAAAAGGAATGAATAGAAAGATGCTACCTTTGTTAAATTTCAAGGAAAACTTAGGAAAGACTGAGACAGAGGTTTCCATATAATGAGAGGTTTTCATTAGGATACAAACATGAAATATTTGAGCCAAAAAAAGACAGCTCTGGGGGTTTTCCTGGTGGCTCAGTGATAAAGAATCCACTGACCAATGCAAGAGACATGGGTTCAATCCCTGGTCTGGGATGATCCCACATGCCACAGGACAACTAAGCTCGTGTACCACAGCTATTAAGCCTATGCTCTAGAGCCCAAAAGCCACAGCTGATGAAGACTGCACATCCTACAGCCTGTGCTCCACAACAAGAGAAGCCACCACAATGAGAAGCCTTTGTACTGCAACTAGAGAGTAGCCCCTGCTCACTGCAACTCGAGAGAGCCCATGTGCCACAATGAAGACTCAGCACTGACTATATATATATATATATATATATATATATTTTTTTTTTTTTTNTTTTTTAAGAAAAGAAAATTCTGAACCCAGGAGAGATGCTGGTGTCAGGTGTCAATAAACCAAGCTCTGTGTAACTTCAGGACTGAAAATAATGGCTCATTTTGGATTGGACTGTCCAGGTTTCTTGCAACTGAACTACTTTGGTTAAAGCAGTTTGGTGATGACATGGAGACACTCCCTGCCTCTGACAACCCACAGACGTGCAGGGCCCTAAATTCTCCTAGGAAGCTGTCCACCAAGGTGGGCTCTACAGTTATCCTCTGAGTTTCTAGGAGTTAGGGATTCCCAGGTGGCCCTAGTGGTAAATAACCTGCCTACCAATGCAGGAGACCCAGAAGACGCAGGTTCGATCCCTGGGTCAGGAAGATCCCCTGGAGGAGGGCATGGCAATCCACTCCAGTATTCTTGCCTGGAGAATCCCATGGCCAGAGGAGCTGCCTGGTAGGCTACAGTCCCTGGGGCCGCAAAGAATCAGACACTACTGAGCACACACATTTTCCAGGAGCGAAGGGAGAATGTTTGGGGCTGACTTCCTCAGAGTCCTAGATTTATAAAATGCTGGTGACAACAGCAGGAGCCAGGCCCCACTGGGGGTGTCTTACTCAGATGCCAAGCATGACCCTGCCTTGTTTGACTCTGGCTGAGTTCACAGAGCAGGCCCTAGGGGGGTGGGCAGTCTGAATGAAGAAAATTCTATCAGTGGATGGGCACCCCACCCTCAGCCCTCACTGACGTCAGTCAATCTGGCTGCACATTCCAGACAAAGATGGAAAGGCCCAGAGTTTGCTAACCAAATCGACTCTGTTTGCTCTGATAGAAAGAAGCCTGTGGAATAAAGGTTCAGTCTTTGTTTGAGCCAAACCACCTCTGCTCATCGATTTACCCAAGCTACCCCTTGGGCAGGTTGCAGCACTTCCTGATTCCTTGGCTCTGCCGTGTCACCATTTACCAACAGGCTGGATGTTAGTCACACGCAGGGGGACACAGGGACATGAGTCATTGTCCTTACCTGGGCATGTCAAGGCTGAGCCAGGCTGTGGCTCAATAGTCCTTGGCAGCTTGAAACAATACCCTGCCCAGGTCTTCTGACAAATACCTGATCCCCACCTGAACATCAGAAAAGACAGCAAGGGCCTATGGTTATCAGAGAAGTGAGGGACTGGCATATTCCCTTCCTCCTTCCGTATAAGGGAAAAGCTTGAAATCAAGAACAACAGAAATGTCCACAGATTTAAAAGCTATCAAGTCATCCTTCATAATGAGTTAGAGACTAGCCGTGGGTGAACAGTCTCCCACATAGTTGCCCCTTGGATGAAGTATCTTGCCTTAAACATCTTTCTGACTTTTTTTTTTAGCCCAAAGGCTCATAATTTAAGGAAAACACTGGCCGCAGCACATCCTGGTTTGAAATGTAAGCTGTACATCAATGTTCATAAGAGCATTATCCATAACAGCCAAAAGATGGAAATAAGTGTCCAAGGGTCCGTTGACTCACAAATGGAATAGTATTTGGCCATAAAAATGAAAGGAAATTCTGATATATACTACAAGCCATAAAGACATAATGTAAGTGAAATAAACTGGCCAAAAAAGGACAAATATTGTAAGGTTCCACTTAGATGAGATGCCTAGAGTGATCAAGTTCATAGAAACAAAGTAGAAAGGTGACTGTCAGGGTCTGGAAGGGAAGGGAATTTGTGTTTAATGGGCACAGAGTTTCAGTTTGGGAAGATGAAAAAGTTCTAGAGATGGATGGTGGTCACGGTTATAAAGTAATGTAAATATACTTAAAACCACTGACCTGTAACTTAAAAATGGTTAAGATGGCAAGTCTCATGTCATGATAAAACTCTTCAACTCTTCAAAATGAACTATCTTTGAACTATCTTTGTAGCCAAATCTTCATAAGTCACCTTGTAGGGGGCCAATTTAACAAGGGAAAAAAGGCTTAGCAAGCTAGGAATACAGATTAAGACTCTAGAATACAGAAGAGAATTGCAGGCCTCCAGCTGTGAAACCTCACCTGGAGACGCTCAGTATTCTGAAAAACCAAGCCAAGCTGAACACACCCCAGTCTTTATAGCTGTGTCAACTTTCAACTCTTCCTCCTTGAAACCCACACACGGAAAACATTTGGTATTATTGGGGGGAAAGCACAGAGCCGACCTGTCTTCTGAAGTCCCACTCTTTTCAGTGTTCTCTTCATCCCCCTGGCATGTTTTTGAGTCAATTCATGTCTGCTGAGCCTCTACTATATGCTGGGTCCTTCATCAGATGTCCACCCAGCCCTGGGCACCCTGTGAGCCCCTGAAGAGTGGTGACCTCCCAGACATCCTACAGCCATTTGAAGGAGCTAAGATTCAAGTCCAGTGTTTCTGTCAGTGTCAGGGCTCTGCCAGCAAGATCTGCAATCCACCAGGAAGGAAAGGACTCATCAGGACTCCCCCACTCCCCTAGTCACCAACTCTCTTTCACAAGAAGAGCAGGCGCACATCTTCAGGGGACACCATCACCGGAGCACACGGGGTCAGTGGAGCCCATGATGAGGGTCACGGGGGAGGATATCATCACTCAGTTTCTCCTTCTCCCAGTGCTGTTCATCCAAGAGAGGCTGGAGAGCCACAAAACCCCCACTGTGGAACCCACATGCCAGACCCACAGAGACAGCTGTGAGTGTGCCCGGGGCACTGGGCTTCCCAGGATGCAGGCGGCATGGCGGTTTCCTGTACATCGCTCAGTACGCATCACTGCCCACGGGGCAGCCAGCCTATGGGAGGGGAGAGATGCCGGGAAGGGGCACCCCTCACCTATCCTGCAGAAGTGGGAGCTGCTAGCCCAGCCGCACAGAAAGATGGTTCCTACCTTTCAGGGTTTCCTGCAAGGTCTGTGTGAAGCTAGCCCAGCGATGGCTGTCACCGTGATTCTTGCTCAGGTTCTCACCCCCTGGGAGGGTCAGGGTCGCCAGGTGAAGGTTCACCAGCGTCAAGTCATGACTTCCTACCTGGGCAAGATGAAACGGCACCAGAGACAGGTTGAGATGCTCTCATTGCCTGCGTCCATTACCTCCAACCCCCAAGCAGTTTCGCGAACAGCCCTGACGATGGGAAACACACACGAGGCAGCTCACCCTGGAGGAAGGGGAGGTGGCCATCGTGAGAGCTTCCTGAGGCCCTTGCAGGACCGAGACCTCTCTTGTCCTATCACGGGGCCCCCCTACATTGCACCCCTTTACTCCTCCTTAAGCCCTGGAAAATCAGGCACATCTAGAAATGTCAATTTTTTGTGTTTTTTCCTTCTGAGCAACTATAAAGGAGGAAGAGGTGATGTTAGCAGCTGGTTGTTAATGAAGACCTGGGGCTCTCCCTACAGGGCCAGCCTGTCACCCCCCACCCCCGCCAGGATTTGCGGCTGGGCCCCGCCTCCTTCCCCACTTCCCCACATCCCACCCACCCCATGCGCTCCCTTCCCCCTAGAGATCACGGTGCCTGATGCTCAGTGATTTCAAACATGAAGAATGAAAGCTGGCTGAGCCCTGTAGCACAGGCTATGGCCCGCCTGCATCCCCAGAGCAGGGGCAGAATCGTGACGTCAGAGTCAGTCTCCTGGGCACCAAAGCACTGCTCAGCAGCTCTGGGTTTGGCAGCCCCACCCTTCTGTTTGTCATGGCAACAAACACTAACCTCTGCCAGGAAGCGAGGGTGTGCAGAGGGCACCCCCAAGTGGGGGCTGCCAGTTTCATCTGACAGAGGTGACCCCAGTTTGCCATCACCACCGCCCCACTTAGGGGGGCTCTCTCTGCGGCCGTGGCTCTGACCTCAAGGGAGACACCTTCCGGCCGTGGGCAAGGAAACCCTGCCTGGGGAGAAAAGCCACGTCTCTGTCCCCACAACCTGCCTGGCCTAGGATGTGACACGAAGCACAGTGGCCTCATACCTGTCCAGGGGATCACTTCCTTCAAAGGATTTGAGCCAATAATTCAATCTGAGAGCATTTCTTAATGATCTTTAAAACCAGCCCACCTCTGAGAGATACTAGCTGGTTCTGCCTGTTGCCTTGCTTGGCCAAAGCCAGTGCAGCCACTTTACATAGAAAAGGGACCTGGGGAGGAGGGTTCAGGGGTGATACCTGGCCGACTGACACATCAGTGCCAAAAGCACAACCCACAGACACCCCGGGTTGTGTGCATGCACATGGAACGCCAACATCTCTGCAGCTTTGCGAGTGAGGAGAGGGGGAGCGTGGGCAGGACCCCCGACCACAGTCAGCACAGCCGCCAGCTCTCAGGCAGCCCCAGCCCGGAGCTGCCAGAGAGAAACTGCTGAGGTCTGCGGCAACCCTCTGGCTCCAGAGCATATAGGAGGGGGGGTCCCAGCCTGGCAGCTAGCTTGCTGGGCTCTGGGACAAGGGACCACTCTCGCCCAACCCTGTGACTTCTGAGGGGAAAGACCAACTGCTGACTTGGTGATCTGTTTTGGCTCCTGCCTTTTCCTCCTTCCTGATGCCCAGTTTCTGACTGCTCTGCATGAATACTTCCCAGGGCATCCAGGGGAATCGGAGAGACAGCTCAGGTCGGTCTGCTTGCTGCTCCCAACTCTGGAGAGAGAGGGCTCGTCTGGAGGTGTCAGTGGCCCCACCGCCCAGAAGCTCCTTCTGGGCCCCTGCCAAGCCCCAGTGACCCCTGGAGGGCTCCCTAGTAAGAGAAGGGTGTCCTCAGAGCAGTTCGGCTGCCCTCTAATCCAGAGATTCCAAAACATCCGGCTTCCTTACCCAACGCTGGGAGCACTTAAGAAGCGCAGGAGGTGATTCTGGAAACCAGGCATTGTGTGTGTCTGGAGCAGGGTCCAGGAAACCCTGATTTTAAGAAAATCTCTCTAGGTGATTCTGGTGCTTATCAGGTTTGGGAAGCAGCCATTTGACCTCCTTCCCACCCAGAGGTCCAAGTTACCAGAGCTATGATCTCCCCCAAATTCCTCTCCTTCCTGCTATGGACAAGTTCCCAGTCGAGGGAATCCCAACTGTGTGTGCTGACCCAGCCCCGAGAGAGAATCAAACCCAGGCAAAAAGGTGAGCTCCTCTGGCTCACAGTTCAAAGTAGGCTTTTCTCCTTTTCAGAAGGAGTGGCCCCGCACAGCAATAGGAGTGATACCTTAAACCTTGCGAGGTACGGGCTAGGGCACGCCGGCTTCCCATGCCCGTTGCTGGGTGAGCTCTCTTGCCAGGCGGCATCTCTCAGCTCCACCCCGGCCGCTGTGTCCCACAGGAACCCTGCAAACCCGGCACCCTGCAGGAGAAGACGAGGTGTTAGTGTGCAGAGAGGTCTGTCTGGTGGGGTGCTCAGCCCCGAGCTGGGAGCAGCAGGCAAGGCCAGGAGGAGACAGAGGGAAAGCTGCAGACTCTACACTGGGTCTGGGGGTGACCTGCGGGGTCACTGGGTGACCAGGGGCTGTTTCTGAGACAAAAGCATATCCCTAAACCACAGCATGTTCCTCCTTGTCACCCCAACAAATTTCCCAGACCAGCACTTTCAGAGGGGTTCACACAGCTGGGGTGCTTGGGCTCTTCTTTAGAAGGGGCATGTTGCAGGGAAGATCCCAGACTAGGCACAGGATTATCTTTTTAATCATCACATCCCATAGGATGGCCACTCACATGCCCATCTGTCATGTGAAGACTCAGCTGCTCAGAGAGGTTAAGTAACTTCCCTGAAACCCCACAGTTGATAAATGGCAATGCTGAGGATCAAATACAAGACTCCAAGAGGTGGCTTTGGTTACTGAGCAGCTGCCAGCTTCCAGCTCAGCACCACCTGCTTCCTCATGGGTACCCTGTCAGGCACTGGCCCATGTCTGCTAAATAAGCATTCAATGCACAGTAGCCTTTAAAATTCTATAGCCACTCTGTGAGTTGAGGGAGGAGCTGTTGATCCCATTTTACAGATGAAGGAGTTGAGGCTGAGCGATCTGAGAGGCAGCCACACACTGTTACCCAGTGGCCTTGACACCCGACCTGGAGTAGGGTTACCTGACTTGAAAATCTCCAACAGGCTCCATCAGGCTCAGCCAAGGTCCTGGGCTTGCAAAGAGTGAAAGAGGCCAGGTTTCTGGGTCTAGTTTTCTCACCATGAACATCTAGTATGTAGCACAGTGCCTGACACACAGTAACTTTTCTAATAATTTGCTGAACAGATAAACAGTGTTAAATGGACTGTGTCCTGTGAACCTATACATATATGTGTGTAAAGTGCCTTTTAAAAATATGTGTGAAATTATTAGTCGCTCAGTTGTGTTTGACTCTTTTTGACCCCAAGGACTAGAGCTCACCAGGCTCCTCTGTCCATGGAATTCTCCAGGCAAGAATACTGGAGTGGGTAGCCACGCCCTTCTCTACGGGATCTTCCCGACCCAGGGATTGAACCTGGGTCTCCCACATTGTAGGCAGATTCTTTACCATCTGAGCCATTAAAAACATTTTTTTTTAAATGATTTTGTATATTTATTTATGGCTCTGCTGGGTCTTCATTGCTACACCAGCTTTCCTCTAGTTGTGCCAAGTGGGGGCTCCTCTCGCTGCAGTGCGTGCATTTCTCACTGCAGTGGCTTCTCTTGTTGCAGAGCAAGGGGTCTAGAGGGCTTCAGTCTTTGCTGCCTGGGGGATCAGTAGCTGTGTTTCCTGGGCTCTAGAGCACAGATTCAATAGTCATGGTGTGGGCTGAGCTGCTCCGCAGCACGTGGGATCTTATCAGACCCAGGATGGCACCCCTGTCTCCTGCACTGGCAGGCAGATTCTTTACCAATGAGCCACCAGGGAAGCCCCCCAGCCCTGTTTTTTAAGTTTATTTTTATTTTACTTTTGGCTGCACCATGCAGCCTGTGGGAACACAGATCTCTGACCAGGATTGAACCCGGGACCCTGGCAGGGAGAGTGTAGAGTCCTAACCACTGGACCACTAGGGAAGTGCCCTGTTAGTATTATTTCTATGATGACTGAGAAGCGACAGTCATGGGCTGGAGTGGTAAAGGCCAGATACCTTCCAATTATCCTGTGTTTCCAACCTCCTGGCTACCACCTGCAGCAATCACTTACACCCCAAACCCAGAGAAATAAGATTTACAGCACACTTTAAAGTAGGAGCTAAAAAGAAAGCTTATTGTCAATAAGTGACTGGATACTTTTAATCCAGTAAACATTACAATTTAAAAGTCCCAGATCTCCATATCACTCAGATAAGTATTTATATCATGTGTGTTTATAAGCATATTAGGTATACTAGAGATACAAACGGGCTTCTCACATGGCTCAGTGGTAAAGAATCCACCTGCCAATGCAAAGCCACAGGAGATGAGGGTTTGATCCCTGGGTTGGGAAGATCCCTTGGAGAAGAGAATGGCAACCCACTCCACTATTCTTGCCAGGATGATCCCATGGACAGAGGAGCCTGGTGGGCTACAGTCCAAGGGTCACGAAGAGTCAGACACAATTGACATGCACACAGCACCAACACCTAGAGATAAAAATATAACATCTGCATTTATAGGAAAATTTTGTAATCTACTCATAATTAACTATCAGGAGCCTTTTTTTAAAATCTAAAACTCTACCGATGTTGAATATTTCAAGTGAGTAAAGACTGGTCTTGAATATATGTAGGAGTGAAAATATATACATAGAGATATTTACCTAAACCCATATGGGCAATACTAATGCGAGAAAATTCAAAATTAAAATCTGCTGAATGTTTCCACAGACCATTTCCATATGCACAATTTTTACCACTAAAGCGAATATTTCATGTATGAATTAAGTGAATCTGAAGTTCTCAGTCAATGAACAATGGGCTCTCTACAAACTTGGCAGAGGCTGGAACCTCGGTGAAGGGATTAGAAGGACAAAGGACAGAAATACCCCATTTGCTGCCTTGGCTCCAGACAGGATTTCTCCTCTCCTCCCAACACCCAAGTTCCCATTTCTATCTGGGCAGCAGGCCATTCCTGATCCAAACAGGAAATAAGAACCAGGGCATTTTGCAACAAATGGCAAAGAGCTAAAAAATGGGCAGAAATACAACATTACATCAAGGATGTTGGCAAAGGAAAGGTTTTAAATGTCTGTGATTGGAAAAAAGAAAATGGAAAGAAAAGTCCCGTTCTGCAGATGAGGGTACCTTTTGGAGCTGAGTCGAGGGCGCCTCTGAAACCACGGCCTTCCAGCATCCTCGGGGCCCTTTCCACTTGCGGATGTTGGGCAGGACTGGCTGGTTTAGCTCCGTACAGAACTGTGAAGACAGAGAACACGTCGGTGTGTGCTCCCGCCTGAGGTAGTTCCTGCTGCAGGCAGCCTGAGGAGCCAGAAAACGCGGGATCCTGACTCTTCAGCCTGATTCAGACACTTGTCACACCTCGTCCTTGTGTTTTCAGAAGCCAGGGTTTATGAAGACCAGGATGACAAAACAAGTCTTGAAAATTAAAAAACAAACTGTCCGCCGGTGAAATATACAATTATCACCTGGAGAATTTTAGCTTAGAGCAAGCCATTCTCTTTGTAGCAACCCACCCCAAATAGTTCAAAAGCAGTTGTCAGAATCTTTTTAATCCTTGAAAAAATCAGTGGTTAAGGGCCCAAAAGAGTCTAGAACAGTATCAAATGCAGAGGGAAGAACATGGATACGTGGTACTTTTCCACCCCTGTTAGAGGCACAAAAATAGACCCCCAGAAAGTAGTCAATAATTGTGAAATAACTTTAAATAGTGACAGGTGGTCACTAAACTTAATGTCACGGTCATTTCATAATGTATAAAATTACTGGATCACTATGTTGTACATCTGAGACTAATACAATATTGTAAATCAATTATACTTCAATTAAAAAAAAAGTGCCAACTGACCCTCCCTTCACCATGCACCACCATATTGTTCACCTTGGTTTTCCTCTGAGAAGAAAGACCCCTCATGAGTGGTTACTAAGTCTCATGTATGTTTTCAGGGTGAGCTCCTTTTCCTGTATGTGTGTTTCACCAATATTTAACTGTAAGGTGACTTTATCATCAAGGCAAAATAAAATCATACAAAGTATTAATAAAATCAGGAATTGAAAAACTACAGGTTTCAGAATCCATGTGCCAGTTCCTCTAAGTCGTGCCTCAAACACAATCCCATCTCTTGGGGCTGGTTCTTTTAAGGGGTCTCCGGAATTTGTCAGATTTGGGCTGTTTGAGATGCTCTGATACCTGGTGCTGCCCCTTCCGGGTGACACCTCCGGTCCCTGCACTTCATGCACCTTGGGCACCCTACTCAGCCCTTCCTCTGCCCGGCCCTATCAGCCAGTCTCTGGGCTTCCTTTCGGAGGCATCATTGCCATCTCCTCAAAGAGCCACCCTTAAGTAACCTCAGCCCCACAGCTTCAGCTTACACTTCTACCCCAAATGCCCCCAAATCTGTACCAGCAGCTCAGATTTCTCTCTTGAGTTTTAAGTTGTATGTTGACTTCCTTTTTAACATTTCCATCAGAAGATTTCCACAGAAGCACAAACCCAGCAGGTCCCAAAGGAACATGCCATTCCCCTCCCCGAAGTGCATCTCAATTCCTGGCATAAGCATCCTTCCAGCTACTCTGACTCTGCCCTCTCCTCCCACAGGCTAGCGCTCCCCAGACCACATGCAGCATCACGTCTGTCAGAAGCGCCCTCTCTCTATTCTCCAATCCCACTGTTATGGGCCATTTCAGAGCTCCATATTCTCCCACCTGGCTCACTGGCATAGCTTGTTAGAGGTCTCTCTGCCTCTCTGTCATTCAATCCCCTCCCATCTGTCCACTGGGTAAGCTGTGATGGCTATACTGACACACCATCCCTGTGGTTCTCAAAGTGTGGTCCAGGGCCCAGGAACATCAGCATCCCCTGGGAACTTGTAGGAAACTCTCTGGCCCCACCCTAGACCTGCCAGATCAGAAACTCTAGGGTGAGGCCCAATAAATGTGTTTTAACAAGCCCTTTGGTGATTTGGATGCCAGCTAAGATCTGAGAACCACTGCAGCTGCCACTCTTCCCTAAGCATCTGCCTCAGATCGGGGTGATGTTGTGGGCTGGCAGCGAGTGGTCTGTAGGCAGCCTCCTCCAGGGATGCCTTGGCTGCAGAGAGCTGCTCTCATGCCCCTCCTGGGCCGTTCACATCCAGCGGCTGAGACAGGCCAGGGTCTGATGGTCTGGTCTCTGCTCTCCTGTTGCTCGAGCTCTGAGAGAGAAGATGAATCATTTCTCTAGTGACAAGCACTATGGAGGAAACAAATTCGGGCAAGGATGGAGCCTCCGGGGAGGGTTACCTGCTTTTACAGTTACATGTTTATGTGTCTGCCTCTTCCCAGTAGTGGATGCCACAAGAGCAGGGGCTGTCCCCAGGTTGACTTTAGAAAGCCCACCTGGCAGAGCATGGTGCCCAGTGAAGCTCTACAAGCATCGGCTGGTGAAGCAGGAAATTTCAGGGAAGATCACCATCCTCAAATCCAGGTATGAGAGACAAAAGGAGGAATTTCTTCTTGAGGCTATTTAAGTAACTGCTTCAATCTTAATCTGACTTTGAGTTTGCCTGGGAAAGGTTCTCTCTGGGATGTGGTCCTCAGTGACTTTTATCCATTCCCCTTTCAACACTGCCACGGATGGTGTTATTCCCAATGGGGGAACTTCACCCCGGATGAATCCCCATAGCCAGATGGTCCTGGCTGGTAGCCACCCTTGGGTAGGAAATGAAGCACTCTGGAAAATGCATGCAGAATTTATCGACTCTAACTTTAGGAATCCAGCGAGAAAATGTACTTCCAGAGGGTCCAATTTCCTGCCGGGGACTCATTCACTTGCTGAGTGATCATTAGAGTTGAATCCAAGAGTCATTAAAAAGGAGCATAGCTCTCCAGTGTCCATCTGGTGCCTCACTGCTCTCCACATAGGCAGGCCTGAACCTGGCTGCTTGCCTGCATCTCTGAAGATGCACCCCAGGAACCTCTAGCTTTTAAAAAGCCCCTGAGGTGATTAGCCAACCAGCTACACTGGAGAGCTCCAGCCTCTGAGGCCGTGCTGTGCTGAGAAGAGCAATCTGCAGGCAGCCAGAAAGCTCATCTCTCCTGACCCTCACAGGTCAGGAGAGACACTGTTTTTCACGCACGCCTCTCTCAAAGATGGGCTCTGGGGACAAGCTTCGTGCTGGTTCAAGCGTGAGCATCGGTATCACTGGGAACTTAAAATGCTATCAGAATCTGAGTGTCTGAGTGAGACCTGGCAAGCTGCCTTTTAACATCCCTCCCAGGTGACTCTGGTTCAGGTTTAAAGCTGGCATTACGGAATGAAGGAAATATATTTTCCTTTTCTTTGTTTTATATTTAAAAGTCTTTCCCTCACAGGTAAACTCTGGAAGACAAGGAACCACGATTCCTGAACCTTAAGGGTAGCCTGTATTTTGTAGATCTGAAGCTTTGCCCTTGATGCTTCTCTCAGCCCACAGAGTAGGTAATCCTTCTCTCTGCCTCCTTTTTCAGTTTCTTATGTTACTGGGGACAATTAATAATATAAGGGGGGCTTCCCTGGTGGCTCAGAGGTAAAGAAATCTGCCTGCAAGGCAGGAAATGCAGGAGACCTAGGTTAGATTCCTGGGTTGGGAAGATCCCCTACAGGAAGAAATGGCAACCCACTTCAGTATTCTTGACTGAAAAAGTCCATGGACAGAGGAACCTGGCAGGCTACAGTCTATGGGGCTGCAAAGAGTCGGACGTGACTGATCAACTGAACATGCATACACAATAAAAGGGACCAAGGAGAACAGTGTTTATGGCTGAAAGCATTCTATGCCTCAATTTTCATGATCAGCATTAGGTAACAGGTATTTTCTCCTATTTCTAGAACTGAAAAAAGAATTGGCACAATTAAAAATGAAATTTAAAAAAAGAGCAAGAAAAAAATTGCCAGCTTGATAACTTAGCTGACCGCTTGCACTAACAGTTCACAGCAAATCTGAGGAGGAGAGCACCTTTAAATCCTTGCTACTCAGTGTGTGGTCCATGGACCAGTAGCATCAACCTCACCTGGGGGCATGTTAGAAATGCAAGCTCTCAGGCCCACCCACACCAGTGCCCTGGAATCTGCACTGTCACAGGATCCCAGGGTGCAAGTTCGGCAAGCTTTGAGAAGCCTACTCCAACAGCACCCTTGTTTGGTCCACACCATTCCTACTATCCACCAACAGATCACACTACCAGTTATTCAGGAGGAAAGTGCAGCCCAGAAACGTTAGGCCCAAACATAAGTCAGTTGAATATGAGACTCCACAGCTGACAGGGTTTAGAGGGAGGTGTGAACTGAGGTCTGTCTCCTAATGCACCACCTCCTGGCCAGAACAGGTGGACCACGTGAGGCTGGACACGCTGCAAGGGGTGGGGCCAGCCGGCCTTTACCAGTCCTCAGATTCTTTCTCCCAAACACTTCAAAGGGAAACAAAAGCATCCTCTGAGAGCCCTCAACCTGAACTCTGCCTGAAGTTGAATTTTTTTTTTTTTTTTAAAGAACAGCTGGTTCTCAAATTTTCTGCTTCACTTACACACCAGAAGGAAGAAAATATACTTTAAGCAAAAGTGGTTCCCAAGGGCAGAATGGGTGGAAATGGAAGGGGCAAGGTGGGTATGATTGGAAAAAAGCCTCCCAGGTAACTGATCTGCACAATCTCAACACAGGGCCCTTGCCTGTCACCTATGTTTCCAAAGTCCCAGGGGCTAACCCATCACCGGTATTCAGCAGAATTACACCAGCTCTCATTTTAAACCACAGGTTTGCCCATCCCACCCTGACTGAGTCAGAATCTGAGGTTAGGGTCAAGCGATGCACTCTCAAGTTCCCCAATTTTAAACTAAAGCTTGAGAAGTTCAGAGGAAGAGAGACAATAGTTGCTTTCAAACTTGGTCTTTGCATTTTTAATACTTGTAGTCAGGAAAGACAATTTGTATTGTTCAAAACAAATAAATACCATTTCAGCTCTCCCACTCTGCCCTGTGTAAGCATCTGAGTAAGGTCCTTTGCAGATCACTCTGTGAGATAAAGGCATGGAGGGAGCCCAGCCACCGCATACACACAGGCCTGCAATGGACGTTTGTTGAATGAATGAGTGAAGGCATGTCTCCTGAGGATCCCACCTTAGGCTTTTCTGTCCCAGGATAAATCACAAGAACCCCCCAAATGGGCTGGACTTTGTTCTTGAGCTTCAGATCAAGTAGGGGGTAATATCAGTCTTTAGTATGTG